AGTAAGGCATATCTTGTTGAAATAAATCTACCAAGAGGGAATTCCCTGCCTGTGACAGACCTCTTAGCTGCCCAATTTATCATTCATCCTTCTTACCCACCTATAGTATAAAGGATTAAAACAAACAGACAAAAAACAAACAGACAAACAAAAAAAGAAAAAAAGATTCCTTACTACTGAAATTAGCCCAATTTCCTAGCTTTCTATAGCAAGTGTCAAAAGATTTTTGTAGGATTCACCTGGACATGTATCTGTGTATATTCATTCCCTAATTCAGAGAGCAAGGGATATTTTACAACCTCGTAAACTCCTCTGTGTTGAGAGAGATAGCCACGTGACTCAGTCCTTTCCCTTTCTCTGTGGGATGCAGACAGGATGACTGAGACTGAGGTGGCCTCCCTGAACCACAAGGAGGGTGACCTGAAATCCAGCCATGTCAGCGCTGTGGCCGCTTAGCTGCCGAAGCCAGGATCTGCCTGCTCCATCCTTTTCTGTGAGAAGAGTAAACCGTTTTGTTTATGCCGTTGCAAGCTGGGTTTTCTAGGTTTACATCTAACATCTCTTACTGATAGAGCGCCGTAATAACCAAACAGGCAGCAGCAACAACGAGCTCACAGCAAGTCCACAGAGCTGGACGGCTCTTTTAATTCTGACATCTTAGATACTCCACTCCTGGCATGCTCCCTGCACAAAGCCTGTTACAAGTCTACTGTAAAATAATTAATTGTTTCTTTGATGGTCAGGTTTTGTTACAGAGCTTTGCCAGTTTCTTTTGTGTGTGTGTGTGTGTGTGTGTGTGTGTGTTTGTGTGTGTGTGTGTGGTTTTTTGCGGGGGGGGTTGTGATTTTTTGTTTTGTTTTGTTTTGTTGTGTGTGTGTGTGCAACATCATTAGTCACTGATGAGTCTTTAGCTCAAATAGGCATCAAACACCTATTAACCTCTTCTCTGAAGAGCCCCCCAGTACCGCTTATTTTTTTCTCTCAGAGGTTAAATCACTTCTATATAAATAGCAATGCTCTTGATGTTTTATCCTGAGAGGAACCATTAAGTCATGTAACATGATAATATGAAGGATACCATTATTCTCATGAAGGCCTCTGCCCTTTTCATGACAGTTTCAAAACGTTTATTTGAATCATGTGCTTTGAGAATATCCCTTCACATGGCAGTAGGTTTGGGATTTATATCTTATCCCAAGTCCGACAGAATTCATGTTAATAGACATCCATTCTGCTTGCTCTTCTACAGCATTTCCCCAGAGCTCATCACTGGGCTTGGACCCAAAATTCCATCCCCTGTCCTGTACTCCAAGCACCTGATAAATAGGCAAACAGATTCTGGGACGTGGGTGGCACTGCTGCTGGAAGATGATACTCAGTGGTCCCCTAGTGGCCGGAAAGAGTTCATGCAGGCTACTAAAATGCTTTCCACTCTTGGAGCTGTGATTCATTAGACAGCGAGATCAAGTAGATGCGATGTTCGAGCCTTTCTAGAAAGCCCAGGGAATACACTCAGGATTCAACCTTCCCTAGGTGGGCTCTGCAGTCAGTCATGCAGTGTAACCAGGAGTCAAACTGTCTTCATAGCCTGAAGTTTTGCTTTTAAGTTCAGGATACAGTCTCTTGAATTAAGTGGCTCCTTTTAGGAGCTAGTGACACTAACTCACTTATCTGGAGCGAAAAAGAAGAGGGATGTATAAGGAGGACGCAGTGCTTTAGGGAGGAACTGCAGGGCAGAAATGAGACCTCTACTATGAAGGAACAGAATCAGGGAGGCCGTCAGAAATAGAGGCAGCTGCTAGCTCAAGGTGTTTGTTTGTTTGTTGGGTTGTGTTTTTTTGGGGGGAGGGGGGTTAGTGATATGTCTCTGCTTCATCCTGTACAAATGCTGCATTTCTGTTTTTTATCTCTCTACAGCTATTCCTCATGTTGCATGAACTTGGCAAAACAGGCCATCCACAACAACCAGCAGCCTTAATTCATACAGAGACCAAACTCTAATTTTTTTTAACTCCATTTCTAGTGTTGGAGAGAAAAGATTTGATTTGGCTAAAAATGATGATGATGATAATGATTATAGTGATGCTTGGAGAATTGGCAAGCCACATGTAAATGAATGAAACTAGATTACAGTTTGTCCCCAATGTACAAAAATTAATACAAAATGGATCAAAGACCTAAATATAAGATCTGAAACAATAAATTACATAGAATAAAACATAGATACTAAACTTATGGACCCTGGTCTCAGAGAAGATTTTATGAATTTCCAAAAGCAAGGAAAGTTAAGGCAAATATAAATAAATGGGACTATATCAAACTAAAAATATTCTGAACAGCAAAAGAAACTGCTAACAAAACAAAAAGGCAACCAACCTAATGGGAGAAAATATTTGCAAAAAACAGCTCTGACAAGGGGTTAATGTCCCAAATCTATAAAGAACTCATACAACTCAACATGAAACAAACAAAAAATTCAATGAAAAAAATTGGCAGGGGACCTGAACACACTCCTCTCTCAAGAAGGCATACCAATGGCCAACAGATATGAAAATATACTCAACTTCACTAGTTATTAAAATTTGCAAATCAAAATTACAGTGAGATACCACCTCATACTTGTTAGAATGATTATTATCAATAAGACAAGAGGTTGTGGAGAAAAAGGAACACTTATTCACTGCTGGTGGGAATGTAAACTGGTACAGCTACTATGGGAAACAATCTGGTGGTTCCTCAAAAAATTAAGAATAGAATTACCATATTACCTAGCAACCCCTCTTCTAGGTATCTACTTAAAAATTTTGAAAAGATTTCTTTGCAAAGAATATGCATTCCTCTGTTCATTATAGCACTATTCACAGTGGCCAAGACATGGAAACAAATGAAGTATCTTTTGATAGAGGACTTGATAAAGAAGATGTGAGATTATATATATACCTATATATATAAAAGCCTAAGTGACCATTAAGACTGAATGATTGGAACAACTGGAATGACTGGAACAACCAGAACAACCAGTCGACCAGTCACTATTACATGCACTGACCACCAGGGGGCAGACACTCAATGCAGAAGCTGCCCCTTTCCACACCTGGCCCAGCGATCATCGCCTCCTCTCCCAACCTCTCGGGGGCCTTTGGGCCCAGACTGGGATGCGGAACCACAGGTGGATGGTGGCGGATACGGCCCCATTCCCAGTGGGGCCAAGGGCCGGCTCCCTCCTTGGGGGCTGGCGGCCAACCTCCTGTGCCCCATCCCTCCCCCCGGCCAGCAGGCCCCAATCGGTCCGGCCCTGATTGGCTCTGACCACTGGCCAGGCCTAGGGATCCTACCCATGCACGAATGAACCTTGAGAATATCATGTAAGCAAAATAAATTAGTCAGATAAAGCTAAGAACCACATGATTTCACTCATATGTGAGATATGAAACTGAAGCTCATAGACACAGCAGTACGGTGGTTACCAGAGGGAGGGGTGGGGGTAGTAAAGAGTAAAGAGGGCACAACACATGGTGACGGAAGATGATTTGACTTTCGAAGTGGGCACACAATGCAATATACAGGTCATGAATCTCAGAAATATCCACTTTATATAATCTTATTAACCAATGTCACCCCAATAAATTTAATTTAAAAACTATTCATAGAAAATCTTGCATCCTTCCTGTTTCTGTTGTTTCTTTTTGGTTATAGATAATGTCTTGAAATGCTCTTCAAATGACTTATGTCTTCATAAATGACTCTAAGATTGTGTTACATGTATGCAATAGTTGCCATTGCCTTAATAGAATTTAGGTCTGAAGGTACAGACTCGGGTAAATTAGGTGGATAGTGAGTGAATTTGATTTGGTAGGAGGATGGTGAGGTGACATATTTTCCTCTTATTCTTATGTTTCTGAATTAATACCTACATATTAATATATAAAATTAATATATAATAATCAATGTGTAATATATAATGTTTTCCTTTATTGTGATTACTTTTTACTTTAAAGATGAAAATTTTAAGGCTTAAAGAGACTTCTTTTACTCCATCATGCTCCTACCAGACTGGTAAAAGTGCTATTTCTTGGGTTCAAACACCTGTGGCAAGCCCAGTAAAACAGTACCAGCAACATCATCATTAACCCTGTCTACCGATGCTTTATTCTTACAGCATTTCTACCTGGGGAATCTTACTCAGCTATTTCCAGACATTGTCTCTTACAGGCACCATTCATGAAGCTGGCCAGGTTTCTAAAGATAATGGTAGGATCTATTTATATATCTTAGCTTGAGATGACACACCTTTAACAGGAAAGATCAGCAAAGTACATACACAAAACAAAACAAACAAACAAATAAATAAATAAATAAATAAATAAATAAATAAAAACACTATCCCAACAGCAAGATGGCCAGGATTTGTTCTGCTGGGTTATAAGTTTTTTTCAATGAACAATCAAGGACAATTTTTAAACACATGAGAGGTGTGTATGACGCAAGAAAGCTGATGAAATCAGAAAGAGAACCTAAGAGGATCCCAATATCACTAGACTTTTTAAGCAGTAAGAGCTGTGTAGGAATCCTTCTGTGAACCATAGAAATAATAAATGCTAAGCCCATTGGAACATAATCTCAATCAGCAAGATGCCACTGCTTTCCAGATTTTCTCACAGGGCTCTGCTAGCTCCCTGCCAAAACTAGCAGTGGCTTCTTCCTTCCAATCTCCCCTAATGCCTTATTCGATTATTGTCACTGCTCTCCAACCATGCACTGTCCTGTCCCTGCCGACGCTCATTTCCCAAACCAGTCAGGCGGAGGAGGCTGGGTGTCCATCAGAACGTAGTCTGAGAATACACACCACCGTGTTCCACGTGAAAAAAGAACAAGGGGGACCCCCTCGAAACTTGTCTGGCAACCTCAGCATCTACTGGATTACTGGCTGGATGCAAACAAGGAAAAGAGACATGAGGGGGTCCAGAAGGTTGCTCTAGTTGATTGGCAAAGGGGAGCTGGTTGCTGGGGAGGACAAACCAGGAGGAAGGCGAAGTGGGCATTTCAGGGCACTGCAGAATGGCGTCACCTCTGCCCTGGCTGTACATTATTTTATGGTGAGTAAAATCTTTTTCCTGATTTTTTCCTTTTAGTTCAGAGGAAAGGAGAAACACACACCTATTGGGTGGCTTCTATACCAAACCATGAAAGAAGCCTGGGCGGTGTGGCATTGGCCGTGGTGGGGAAGACACAGGTGATTGAGCAGCACATATTCTCTGAGGCTGGGAGTGAGGATCATTGACTGTCTACTCACAGGGTAGAAAATGTCCAAGGGAACTTTGAAGATGAAGGAAACGCCTACTCCAAGAACATCAGTCGCATCCTGGACAACTTGCTTGAAGGCTATGACAATCGGCTACGGCCGGGATTTGGAGGTGAGAGGCAATATCCTTTAGTAGACCAAGCATCTGTACTCCTTCCCCCTTACTGCCATTCCAAGGCAGGGGTCCTGGAGAGAGGCCATGTGTGTATTCCCATCCACTATCTGCCCCTCTCCAGTTAGAGATCTTACATGTGAGTTATTTGAACTCTTTCAGCCTCAGTTTCCTCAACTGTAGTGTGAGTGTATGAACAGTGCTTACCTGATAGAGTTGTGTAAGTGTTGAATGAGATTGTCCATGTGAAACACTTTTTTCATAGCATTTGTCCCATTAAATCTATCAGTTATTGTTGTTGTTTTTTTTTTTTTAGAGTTCTCCCCTAGTTCTTTTCTTTTCCTTAAATTCCTCAAATTGACCAGATTAAATTCAAAATAAGGCAACTGGTATGAATTTTTAGAGTTGAAAAATTCAAGGACCCCACTACTGGGACTTTAGGATGGGTTGGAGATTCCAGCTGTGAGAAGCAGCTTTGCTGTAGAGTCATTAAGTTCAGATCCTTCAACTTCCCTGGTGATAACTGCCCCCATCCTTCTGGGCTAATTTCAGGTGCTGTCACTGAAGTCAAAACAGACATTTACGTGACCAGTTTTGGGCCCGTGTCCGATGTGGAGATGGTGAGTGAGTTCTGAGTGAGGAGGACAACTTGACTTAGGGGGAGCAAGGGCCAGGACCCAGAACTAATGATAACGGGCAGTTACCAAGCACCATAATGCACTATGTGAACTCATGCTGGGAGGGCATGGCCATTAGAGCAGATTCCTGGCTTAACCTCCTTCACCAAGGGCTCTGCTTGAGCACTTTAATCTGAGGGATTTTATAATTGGACATCCTCTCCCCTCTTCCATCCACATGTCATGTGCTGATTCTTCCCTACAAAGAGAAGATCTTTCACATCTTTATGAAGTCTTAGTAAATGTTTGGAGTAGCAAAACGAAAAACCAACTAAGGTACCATGTCAGAGTATATCAAGACTATCCATGAAAGTTAAAACATAGATTTTTTTTGTAGCACATCATTTCTAGTATATTTAATTAAAAGAGTGAAGGGAGTCACTTGGAAAGGCCAATGCTGTCCACCTTTTATGTAGTGAATAGACCAGTAGGTGTTCTGGGGCCTCTGCTCCAGGTACAGATGGCAGTATTCATCAAAGGATATTTATAGTAAGTGGCAATGAAAACCTGACCTAGCCTCCTAGAACAAAGTAGATTATAATATGCTGTCATAGTTCTTAGGTAGAATTTCCTTTTAAAAGTAAAATATAAGTACTAAAACTGAAATGAGCATAACTTTGTAAAGAAGTGCCTCATTGCATTTTATTAGGGAAATATAATTTTAGATAAACAGTTGTTAGAGACTTTTTCATGGTCTGGTTTTTGAGTTGACAAGAAAAGAAAAAAGAAGAAAAGAAAGGAAGAAAAAGGCAGAAATAAAAGAGGAAAAAGTTAAAAGAAAGAAAATAAGAATGATGAGGATATAGGTACTTTATTTTAGAGGCAAATGTCTTAAGATCAGAATCTTCAATTATTTCACTACCATATTTTTCATTTGAGTACTGAGTCACCTATGTATAAATAAGCACAACCATATTCTACTGTATTATTTGATATCTGGGGATACTTGGAACTTTTTGCATTTGTCTCCTTTCTTTTTGTACAATAGAGCCTTGTTATAGCCTGAATCATTATTATATAAATCTATTGTGTCAAGTTAGATATTAAAATATAATCACCATTTGTAGTAATAGGTCTAGAAAAAGAACACAAAGTAAGCAAAGCAATTATTGTCAATATTTTTATATAATTACATTGTTATTTATCATTGACTTTTTCAATAACCCTTATCATAATTCTTAGTATCTTAATGTTATTTAATAAAAGCCACACATTAAAACTCATAATTATTATTGTGCATACTTGAGTAATATTCTTTCTGATTATTCTTGGTAACATTTGCTTTTATGTTCTCTGAAAACATATAAAATAATTATGATGTGCAGTAAGAGCCTGCTCATCAAGTAAATTTTATCCTTGGAACTAAATGTTATCATGATGCTCGGAGACACATTTGAAGGTGAATGAATTGCTAAGGGAAATGGTTAGCCTAACTGATGGTAAGGAGGGCAGCACAAAACCTAGAGTGTATCTTTTCATATTTTTCTTCTAAATTAAGGATGGAGGTATTGAAAAGTTGATAGTGAAGAGGTGGGTGACAGAAACCGAAGTATGTTGAGGATGGTCAACGTTAAGGAGGGAAATTTGCTCAGCACAGCACTATCTTTTATGATAATACAAACTTGGAGAAAAATAACAATTCACTAAAATTTTAACTTTCCTGATAGGCTATTGCCATAAAAAGTTGCTTTGTTCCTTAAGTTTTAGGATTGGATAGATAAGCTGGTGAATAAACTATTCTAATAAACCATCTGCCCAGCCTGCATGAATATCTTATTTTCTCTTAGGAGTATACCATGGATGTTTTCTTCCGGCAGACTTGGACTGATGAGAGGTTGAAGTTTAGAGGGCCAACTGAGATTCTGAGTTTGAATAACTTGATGGTCAGTAAAATCTGGACACCTGACACTTTTTTCAGGAATGGCAAAAAATCAATTGCTCACAATATGACAACTCCTAATAAACTCTTCAGAATAATGCAGAATGGAACCATTCTCTACACCATGAGGTAAGGTTTTTTTCCAATTCTACTGCCTCTGCCCAACTCATGTGTCCATCATACTAACTCAGAACCTTTCACTTCAATGTTCCTAGGCTTACCATCAATGCTGACTGTCCTATGAGGCTGGTTAACTTTCCAATGGATGGGCATGCTTGCCCACTCAAGTTTGGGAGTTGTAAGTTACAAAATGCTTCTAAGAGTCAAAAACTGCATTAAAATATGCAATTATTTGGTTTTAGTCAGAGACAGGAAAGCAAAAGAGAAATATAACTATGACATTCAAAGTGTGATTCCTGGAATATACTTACTTAATCATATCTGTCACCGTCAGAGATTTCAGTTACTCAGATTAAAGAAAAGCAGTAAAGAAAGGTCATGTCTGTATTTCCTTTTCATACGAACAAAATTTGCTTTGAAAGAAAAACCCACTACTAGTCAGATTCACTATTATGTTTAATTTGTTTAAAAAATGCAGATGCCTACCCCAAAAGTGAAATCATATACACATGGAAAAAAGGACCACTTTACTCAGTTGAAGTTCCAGAAGAATCTTCGAGCCTCCTCCAGTATGATCTGATTGGACAAACAGCATCGAGTGAGACGATTAAATCTAACACAGGTGAGAATTTGACCAATGCATGGATGCAAAGTGACTCCAGGGGCATCTTCAAAATATCTATTTCTTCTTCCTTTGCATTAGCCATCCTCAGATAAGCTTGATGTTTTGAAGTGATGAGTAGTTTTCTTTAAAATTGATTTTGCAACCATGTGCATGTAAAGATGTGTATATCCTTGAAATGAAGAGTTTTGGATGCCAATGACACAAAGAACCCCACTGAAAACAGTGAGCGGATGTATCTATCATCTGATGATTAATGCATTTGCCATCCATTAAAATATGCCTTTGCTTATTTTCTTCTGGTCCATGTTAATTAAAAAACCTGCGAGGTTTATTCCCAGCTGTATTCTTTTTACACACTATCAACAGCAATAATACTGATGTATGTGTCTTCCAACAGGTGAATACGTAATAATGACAGTTAATTTCCATTTGCAAAGGAAGATGGGCTACTTCATGATTCAGATATATACACCTTGCATTATGACCGTCATTCTTTCCCAGGTGTCTTTCTGGATTAATAAGGAGTCTGTTCCCGCCAGAACTGTCTTTGGTATGCTTCACTCTTTGGACTCTATTTCCATTCATCCTCCAGCTCTCATGCCTTGGGTATTTTAGGGTAATATTCACACCAGTGCACTTTTTCAGTCCACAAAGGAAATAGACGCGTATCTCATTCAGACACATGTATCAGGTAAAATGACCCTTATCTTATTACAAGCTGTGTGATGAATCAACAAAAAATTTGTCTCAGTGAGAATTCTGGCTGGTTTCCTGTGACTTTCATATGTTCTACTTAGTAGGGTTTTAAAAAAATCTTTATTTTTCATAACCAAGAGAGTGCTTAAAGTTAAAACCTACATGTAAATCCATAAAAAGGGCTAAGTTATTGAACCTATATCATATACATTGTATCTCACTTTTATTAGGTTGAACCATAAAAAATTGCTCTTTTTCTATGTCTAAAAATAGTTAAGTATTACTAATTTCCCATATTTCAACCTAAATATTTAGTCCTATTTATGATGAATAGAACCACCACTAGTTTTGATAAAAGAAAGTAAAATGAGATATAACAGAAAATATCAGCACTAACATTATTAACCTTTTATGAATTGTTATGATTACCAATTTGGCAGTTCCTAAGGAAGACCAAAGTTGAACTGAAATATCAGATGAATTTTGACTTTTTAATTTACTATATTAAAATAGATCTCTTTATACAAATTATAAAAGAATAGCTATATTACAATGTTGACCATATTAAAATTATATAAATTCCCCAACTCAGAATTCAAGACAGAAAGCTGCTGGCAGATGAATAACAAAATTATTTTCTTGTGAGAAAGTACTTTACTTTAAAATCAAGCTAGAAATATTAAAAAACTTGAGAAACCCAATTTATGATTATTATTCACTAGAGGCCCGGTGCACAAAATTCATGCCCGGGGGGGGGGGGGTTGTCCCTTAGCCCGGCCTGCACCCTCTCCAATCTGGGACCCCTCGGGGGATAAGGGATTGGGCCTAAACCAGCAGTCAGACATTCCTCTCTAAATCCAGGACCATTGGCTCCTAACCGTTCATCTGCCTCACTGCCTGATCGCCCCTAACCACTCTGCCTGCCTGCCTGATTGCCCCCTAACCTCTCTGCCTGCCTGCCTGATTGCCCCTAACTGCTCTCCCCTGCCAGCCTGATCACCCCTAACTGCCTCTGCGTTGGCCCCCACCACCGTGGCTTTGTCCGGAAGAACGTCTATAAGGATGTCTGGAAGACATCTGGTCTAATTAGCATATTACCCTTTTATTAGTATAGACACCAGACAGAGTTTTAAAATATGATCAAAGATATTATCAGCTATTAAAATTGACCAGAAGTTCAAGGTTTTATTACTTTAGTGATAATATGCTTTAAGTTTTATAAAGAAGTAAACAACTAAAATTTTTCATGACTTAAATTTTGTAACAGTTAAGCTAAATCAATTCAAAAAATATGTTTTGAGTTATTATAATGTACAGGCCACTGCACTAGGTATGAACGGATACAAAAATGATAATACCTATCATAATAATTGTGAACAATTATAAAGCAATGAAACAATAACAAAAATTACATTTGGAGAGTGTTTAATCCTCGCCAACAACATGTTCTCATTTCATCTTTTTATTGGATTATAAATGCTAATACTGCATTTCTTATTTTTTTCATTTCAGGGATCACCACTGTTTTGACCATGACCACTTTAAGCATCAGTGCCCGGCACTCCTTGCCGAAAGTGTCCTATGCAACCGCCATGGACTGGTTCATAGCTGTGTGCTTTGCTTTTGTCTTCTCTGCTCTTATTGAGTTTGCAGCTGTCAACTACTTCACCAATCTTCAGACACAAAAGGCCAAAAGAAAGACACAGACTGCAGCCTCACCCCCAGCGACAATATCAAAAGCAATGGAACCCTTGGAAGCTGAAATTGTCTTGGTAATTGTTTATTTTACTAATCTTACCCACCATAAAAAGGTAATCCAAACGGTAATCACAAACAGCAAAATAGTCCAAAAGTAGTACTAGTTGAGCACGAGTTACATAAACCTAGTTCCAGGCCAACTTCTTTTCTAATTTCACAGAAAAAAGCCAAGTAACAATCCTTCACTTATCTTTGACCTAAACTTTTGGCATGTCTCTTTCATCACCCTCATTAGTACTGGCAGGTCCCAAGCTCTCAGAGACAAGAAAATTCTTCTTAGCCTTTAAATGATTGCTTTGAACAGGTTCACTTAAACTAACTAGGGAGAATAAAGTAAAAAAAAATAATGTTTTGAATGAGCCTCTGAGACTTCAGAGCCTGAAGGAAATAAAGAGGGACTCCGAAGGAACGGACGATTTTTATTGGAAATCAGCTTGCTGGTTTCATTCATGAGGACAGGATGTGAGTATTAGGTTCTATGAATGCTGAGTCATAAGCCAAGTTTTTAAGCATATGAAAACATTCTCCTATTCATATATGAAAACATTGATATAAGTATGGTTTTAGTCAAAGACTTATGCTCAGTGAGAAATACCTATACAATTCAGTTTAGAGTTGCTGTGGCTAAGCTCTGGCCCCAAAGGTGCTTTGAGTAAGAAACAAATGACAGCATTAATAATTCAAGGGTCATAAATGTGTCCCCAAATTTCAATTTTACATATGAGTAAATTCTCTCAACAATTAAGGTGCACAAACTTTTTAAATGGATTATAGAATTGATTGACAAGTATACATTTTTATATGAATACAAAGTCAAAACAGTGACTCCTGAAAAGAGAAAAATTTTGCTCTATAAAATTTAGTAATGTAGATATTTCAACTGAAAATTTCCTTGTAATTGATCAATTCTCTTGAACATTCTAAATTGTAGAACCACATACAGTCCAGCTAATTCTTGGTTAATTTTTATGATAAAAATTATAAGGCTATGTGTACTCTACTTCTCAAATACTCAGGCATCTATCAGCTAAAGCATGATAATTTTTTACTTAAACTTTTCTCTTTGATAAACTAAGAAACTTGTTTGAGAATTTACATTCTCTGCAAGGAATAAAATAAGGCTATTCCCATGATAAATGGAAATATATAATGTAAATATTTTTTCTTGAATTATCACTAACTAAAAAACAGGTCATGTAATATAGTCCAATGATTTTCACTTACAAATTGAAAACAGGAAATTATTAGTTACTAGTTGGTAGAAAAACTAGAAATTGATTTTAGAACTCTTGATATCCACAAACTGTACAGAGACCCTCCCCTCCCCAGCAATTCCTCAAACACTGAAACATACAATGTTTTCAGAATGTAGGTGAGGTCATTCCCAAAATTCTTCCCTTGACATAATGATGTGTGTGTTTTTTTAATGTAGATATGTTTTGAAAGGTGATAAAAATATAAATTTTATAACAAAAATGTTAGTCTGAAGATTTAGTCCAAAACACTTGAAAATCACTTTTTTTCAAAAAAATAAATTCCAAATGTTTTTGAGAATTATTTTATGTTAGTAAAAATAAGTGATTATGCTATAAACCATCTGTATTTACATAGGTATATAATCAACATATTGCCCAAAGGTTATATATTAACATACATCCATAAAGGAAGAAGAATTAATGTTTATAAGAATTCAGTTTAACAGTTCATTACTTGAGAATGGTAAAAATTAAGAGAGAAATTCATAAGAAACAGGGTAAAAAAATAACTGATGACTTTGAACATGCTCATTGATCTAATGTAGAAATAAAAAGGAAGACCAACTTCTTTAACTCTTTTGAAATATATATTACTGAGAGGAATATGATTTCAAATCCTTGGAGAAACTATGGTTACTATTCCTTTAGCCTTTATTTTAAAGGTATAATTTATTAATAAGATGAAATTTAAGATCTCAGGCCTTCATATAAACTATCTTTTGCAATCCTTTGGGAAGCTGGTTACAATATTGCATTTAAATCATCTCAAAGTACCTTTTTTTGCAAGTTGACGTGTTTCTTATGAATAATATATTTCTAAACCTGGCTCTACTTAAAATATTTAAGGCAATGAAAAGAAGAATTTCATTTCTGAAAGGCTAGGTCAAAGCATAAAAATAAAAACAAAAATTAAACCTACCAATACAAACCTTGTAGATGTCAAAAATAAATATAGATTACATAGAATATTTACATTTTATTTATTTATGTCAAAACTTGGACGCTTGTCTTATACAACATAGCAGAACAAAAATTATACAACACAATGGTATATTATGATTGCTAGGTCATTTTTTCCTTTCAAATATCATGACATTTAAAAATGCCTATCCAGTTGTAATCAAAATAACATTACTTGAGTAACTTGAACATTGAAATAGCATGCCAATGGTGAAGTTGAAATGAAATAAGAGTTTGAATATTTTATGATTCTAAGTTGTATATTTTAAAAGACTCACTGCTTTTCATAAGCAACTTCTTATAATAAATGCAGAGAAAAGTGTATCACTGATTTTGACTTTAAAATACAATATAACTAGAGGCCCGATGCATGAAATTCATGGAAGAGCAGGCCTTCCTTCCCCCGGCTGCTGGCACCAACTTCCCTCTGGCACCCGGGACCCAGGCTTCCTTCGCAGCCCTGACTTCATCTGGAAGGTCGTCCAGAAGGACATCTGGTCTAATTAGCATATTACACTTTTGTTATTATAGATAATGACAAGAAATTCAGGCATTTTAAATCCAGTACTCAAACAGGAAGAAACACATAAAACTAAATCCTCAGAAGTACTTATAGACTAATTAGTTTTCTGTTTTTAAGGCATTTGGAACTGGAGACTTTATTTTATTTTATTTTATTTTATTTTATTTTATTTTATTTTATTTAGGTTTTGAGAAGGAATTATCCACAATTTCTCTTGTATTTATATGGCATTTTTCCTTACTGTTTTTATCTGGTAGGTTATCTAGGCATTAGAGAGCGATTTCTGTCTTTGTATTTCAGAACTTGCATTTGAGGTATACTATTCTGCATGCAAAACCCAGTTTGGACCTTGATCTCTTTTTGAATGTTTTGCTAACTTCCTTACTATTTTAAAAATCCAAGCCCTCATTACTTGTTCATAAGAGAATCACCTCCCCACAAACCTCCCCCCTCCCATCAAGGCATCAAATGTGGCTTTTCTTTTTCAGAGGAAGTATGATGTTCTTGGTAAATTATCTACAAACAAAAATGACCAAAATGTCACTAGTCTGGACAATGGCTATAGTTATACTGATTACATTGTTTATTCATTTATTCATTTTTCTTTTCACCTAGTACCCATTTATTGAGAATCTACCCATTGAATTTTGTAAGTACTTTTATGTGCCAGATCCTTTGTAGAATGCTGAGGATACATTAATGAGTGGCATCAATAGGGCCTCTTCCCTTTATAAGGTTGGAATGTCTGCTGGGCCATTACCATGTGACCCTATGGAGTACAGAATACTGAAAGATTTACCTCCTTTGTTCCAAATATTGCCAAGATTTGAGTACCACCATTTCTCAATAGAATGAAGGGCTGAATTAAAACCATCAGAGACTCTGAATACCAGAAAGATCATGGTGCCCCTTCTCATGGCTGTGCCATTGTTGGACTTTTAAAGACTGAGGGGTGGATTAGGTGAGGGATATAGGTGGTTAGCTTTTTCCCCATATCTTCTATCAAATCCTCATCTAATATTCCATTCTTCACCCTCCAAACATTCCAATATGGTTTCCAGACATGCCTCTAGCACCACTGACCCACCAGATTGCTGCCAATAAGCTGCTTCTCTCTAGAATTTCTGGGTTCAGCTCTGTTTCCAGTTCTACCAGCTGTAGCATAAATGCAGGAAAACTGGATGGAGTTCTTATTTTCTCCACAGTGATATGATAGGTTAATACAATAGGACAGTTTAAAGAAATGTCAAATACTAAATGTTTAAAAAACATTTTCTCTTATTTTTGATGCCCCTCTTTTGCTGGTTCTAGGAGCAGATGCAATGCTAGTCCCTTGAGTAATGCAGCCCCCAGCTAGAATCTCTCTTGAGAGGCAATCCATTGCCCCCTTCTCTGGAATGTGTTAGACTCACTGAACATTGTATCTGAATTGCTCTAAGTACTCCCCAAATGCCTTATCCCTACAGCAAATACTGATGGCCTTAAAGTCCAGTTTGATTCAAAGTATCTTTGCAATATGGTGTTACTTAAAACAAAGCTGTGCTCTTAAAATACCCAGAGCAGGATGGCACTCAGCAGCAGGGGACCATAGAAGAATTCAAAACCACAGGTGTTCCACTCAAAGCTGTGACAGCCCCAAGCTGAGCCCTCATCTGGACTCCGACAAAAGCCTATTTCACCATCAACTGAAGCTGCGGAGCTTACAATGAGCAGGCAGGCGGGGTCCAATGAAAACCTGGAGCTGAATGGCTTGGAAAATTGGCTTTCTTTTCATTTCAGAAATTCAATGTGATTCTTCTAAATTGGCGTCCAGTCTCCTGTATTATGAATTCCCAATTATCCAGGACTTGATTATCCAGTGCGTGCCTTAGCCAGGAGTCATGCATTTCCTTGAGCATATGTTTTTGCTTCCTGTTAGAAATCCCCCCAGTCACCTTTGGGCTGTGGGACAGTTGTAACTGTAAAGTGGATATTCTCAATGGTAGGCGAATCTCCCCCGCCCTGCCCCCCACCCCCCCCCCGGAGGATATTGGTAAGGCCTGGAGATATTTACGGTTGTCATAACTCTGGGAAGAAGTGGAGGGAGGGGTACTATGGGCATCTTGTGGCTAGAGGACAGAGATGCTGCTCAACACCCCATGATGTGCAGGACAGTCCCCCACAACAAATATTTATCCTACTCAGAACGTTGATAGCCCGGTGGCTGAGAAACCGTGCTCTAAATCATAACGCTGATGGGAAGAAATAATAATTGTTGAGTGTGATCTTTGGAATCTGAGAGGGATTGAATTCAGGTGCTGCCACTTATTACTTGTGTGAGCTTTCTGCTTAAGACTCCATTTGTTCATCTCTAAAATGAAAATAACATTATTACATAATAGATTTCTTCTAGGGATAAACAAAATAATGCATGCAGAGTGCTGTGCAGTGCTTGTCAATAGCAAGCATTTAGATATGGTACCTATAACGTAATGTAAAATAACATACTAAAATATAATATAAAATAATCACAAGACCTTTGCTCCTTTTTCTTTGCCTGTCTACTGAAAGAAACCTTGAAAAATGTTTAGGTTTTCATTTATCTGTTGATTCAGCCTATGTTTATTCAGCATATACTATGTTCCATGCACTAGCCAGGCACTGTGGAACACTTATGTATGGCAAGAATATGCCTTCTACCATTAATGTCAGGAAAGGAGATAAGGCATAACAGAAATAATATTTAAAGGAAGTATGTTATAATAGCTAAAAGAGCTGTAGCAGCTAGGCAGGCAAAAAAGTATACAAAGTGTGTGTGTGTGTGTGTGTGTGTGTGTGTATAAAAGTCTTTCTCAAATTCTTAAAGGAAAGAAAGAGAACACTTTCAAAGAAATTAATCACTGTCCCTAACTTTAAAGATAGCACATTGAGGCTTAGGGAGAGTATATGGAATCCGTGGCATTTCTAAGTCGTAGCAGCTCAGTAGTATACATGGACTTGCAATCCAGGGCTTTCTGACCCTCCTGTCCTCTTAACACTTGAGCAACCCTCCATAGAGATGATTTGGGGAAAACAATGAGGAAAGGGGGCATCCAATTGTAGGGGACATTTAATTCCAGGCTAATGACATTGTGCTTAAAATTTTCATGGTATGTGGTCTTGAATGATGTTGGTTAACTCTGGACAAGATGTACTTGGCAACCTAATTTTAAGTCATTTGTGACACTGTGGCAGTGCCAAGAAATTGACAAATAATTTTGCCCCCACATCTCTTAAAAAGAGGGAAAGATGAAACAATGCCTTACATTTTTATGGCACGTTATGTTTTACAATCACTTTCTCATGTCAATAAACTTTTTAATGCCTGCCCCCTTTCTCCCTAAAAAAGAAAAAAAATACAGGTTTCAGAGAGGCAACGTGTTCTATTAAAAGTCAAGACAAATTTAGGAAGAAAATCTGCTCTAAAGGCTCGCCCTCCTGTGACTTCATCATGACCCTTAGAAACGTTACTAGAGTAAAAGACTTTAATGTGCCATCCATCTGGGAGGAGGATACTTCTTTTTGGAGAATGAAACAGTGACACATTTCACTGGGTCAGAAAAGGAATATATTAATGAAATATTTACTGAATGAAAATTCAAATTAAAGTGTGAGAAATGTGATAAAAGCTCTTGTTAGATGATGCTATACTTCTTCTCTAAGACCATGGAGACCAAACTACCACCACTCTGGTCTTATCCACACCGTGTCTGGTGAATTTCAGCACAGTGGTCCTTAGCTGTCACATATTTTTTAAAAAATATATTTTTTTGTTGATTTCAGAGAGGAAGGGAGAGGGAGAGAGAGATAGAATCCTTAATGATGAGAGAGAATCATTGATCAGCTGCCTCCTGCACGCCCCACACTGGGGATCGAGCCTGCAACCTGGGCATGTGCCCTGACCGGGAATTGAAATGGGACCTCCCGGTTCCTAGGTCAATGCTCAACCACTGATCCAGGCCAGCTGGGCAGCTGTCACATATTTTTCATAGAAAGTATCACTTATTTCCTGTCCTAGACCAGCAGACTGGTCTCTCTATACATTAAATTATTTTCTACCTCCAAGACCCATGATTTATTTAATTCTGACCTGAGTGGCTAGCACAATCCTGGGCCAACAGACAACAAATAAAGATACTTGCTTGAAACTCACCACGTTCATATCAAATTAGACTTGAGTACACAGATTCTTTTTTTTGCTTTTGGTTAAGAAATAGATTTCCCCACGTCCCCTAAAAGCATATGGGGCTTGAACTTTCTATGAAGACTGTTATTACTTAGATACTCACTGACAAATCACAGCAACATTCAAGAAGGGGGATGCAGAGAGAAGAGGCTCTTTGGACAGTTGTTTCCCACAGTGCAAATGTCACCACCTCGGTGGGTCGCGCTGGTCCTGTGGCTCAACCAGCAGAGGGGAGGTGGCTCCCTCTCCCGGGTGCTGCAGGGTTGCTGGCTAAGGCCACAGGCATCTGCCACGTGAGTAATATACCCTGCCAGGCAACAAAGTGGTGATTTTGCTGCCAGGGAGGAAACAAGGTGGTTTTAGAAGAGCAGGGATGATGTACAGCAAGTGTTTGAAGGCAGAGACCCAGCAAGGACAACCTGGCTGTGAGGCAAGTGAGGATTACAGGATGTAGATAATTAAAGGGAAGAATCAGAGGAAGGCGCCTAGTTTTCAAAGGCATAAAAGGAATCTAAAGCAAACAGATTAGAATCTCTGAATGAGGCCCAATACTTAGACTAGAGATGAGAAAATTTGGGGATGAAACAAGCACTGAAATTTATCACCAGCTGTGCAACAGGGGGGGTGGCGGGTTGGGGGTCGGGGGGTGGGCAGTGCATTTCTCCTATCTGGACCTTGTCTTTCTCATCTATCAATTCATGTGCTAAATATTCCTTTCAAGATTAAGATTGGTTGTCTTATGATTTCAATAGAACAGAAATTTTAATGATGGAGAAACCGCATATGACAATTCTGAAGGGAGTAAATGAATCATTTTCTGGTCACTTGAGATAGAAGGAAACCAGTGGAGAAATTCTGAATGGGAAGCAGAAAGCTCTCAAGACAGAACTTCTGAACTAAGAGGAAGCTGTACTTCAAGGGGTGAACAGTCAAAGAGTCATCCTACTCAATCGAAGGGCAGTTTTATACTTTGTCTCTGGCTTTTGACACATATGAGCACCTTCATATATATATTTCTTTAATCTCAGCTGGTTCAAATTTATGAATGTGTGAAGACAATGATGCAGGCTGGGAATGTATCTAGATGCATGGTATCAATTAACCAAGCTATTATTTCCTTATGTTAACAAATATTCCAAATGGAAACCCCTCTCATTGCCCAAACTCATAGCCCCTTAAGTTAAGCTTAGCAGGCTTAACCATAACCAGAGGGTGGATAAGCTTTTGCAACCTTACTCATGTCCTCCTAATGGTACAATCTCAACACAGTTTCTGATATGGGGAACATGCTTAACATTAATTGCTGATGTATTAATTTATAAGATGCTGGATGAAATCAAATCATTTCTTTTTTTAATTATTTTACTACTTTCTTGGAAAAGTAACACCATCAAATACTATAAGAACTTGCTGATTTTTTTTTGTCTTTACATCATAGGCAAATAGTCACTAAATATCTATCAATAATGAAAAAATGAATCTAAATAAGCGATCTCTTTTCCTTACTTAAGCTGAATATTTGCCTTTTATCTGCAGCATCCTGACTCCAAGTACTACCTGAAGAAAAGAATCAGCTCCCTGACCTTGCCAATAGTCCCAGCCCCTGAAGCCAGCAAAGTCCTCACTAGAGCTCCCATCTTACCTTCAACACCTGTCACACCCCCACCGCTCTCTCCAGCCGTTGGAGGCACCAGTAAAATAGACCAGTATTCTCGGATTCTCTTCCCAGTCGCCTTTGCAGGATTCAACCTCGTATACTGGATAGTTTATCTTTCAAAAGATACAATGGAAGTGAGCAGCAGTGTTGAATAGCTTGCAGACAAGACTCCCTGTATTATATAAGTTATTTTCAGAATTTAAAAAAAATTAGCATTGAGACTTGTGTAGATAGATGCTTTTCTGAACATGAAATCAAAATTGAAAATCTTTAACACGTAGCTTTTAGTAAGTAGATAGGAGCTAAAAAGCAATAATATAACTCCTCAAAACTGGAAGTTGAAGGTTTCTGAAAAGTAAGAATTTGGGTGGTGGGTATACAATGCAGTATACAGATCATGTATCATAGAAATGTAAACTTGAAATCTATAAGATCTTATTAAGTAATGTCACCCCAGTAAATGTAATAAAAATATGACTTTTGTGTACATTAGAGAAAAATTTTATAAGAAGATGGATTCAAGGTGAATTTCCAATCTTTGTCCTTTATTGTTCAATATTTTGATTGTCATTGTGAATAGCATATACCACAAAGCAGATAAAATAAGAAAGGCTGACAATTCCAAAGGTTGTCTTAAAATATGTTTATTTTGGCTTAGTTTTCAAGAGAGCAAAATATAAGTAGTCTAAATATTTATAAATAGGTAAATACCAGCATGTTGGAGGCCTTTATGCCAGTAAAATGTCTTTCAGTGGCATTGTAAAGCCTGTATTGAGCTTAACCATCTGTTTTTAACCTTGCTGTGCTATTTTGCCTCAATAAAGTATGGTGTTTGTATACATATGAATTATACATAGGTCATAAATTATGTATGCATGTGCACATAGCTTTAGCTGGACTGTAGTACAGTGTTGCTTTATCTTATTAAGCTTTCTTTTTAAAATAATATGCTCATCATAATTCCATGAAGTTATAAGAAAACATAGTAATTATAAGGCAGCCTTCTATATTATGACTGTGGTTATATCTTGTATTTTCTATCTTTCTGAGTATACCACTAAATAAAACAAGAATGAACATGGTTATCTGGATCTGTCTAATAAAGCTAGGTAGCAGAATTTCTTTAAGTCCAGAGAAATGAAGTGGTTACCTCTACCCCAATGTTAGTGTTCCTGGAGATTCTAACAGATAGAAGATAGGGGAAGACCAGCCTCAGTCACCTAGCTCTAAAGAAAAACTTGAGTTTGAAATAATAGTTAATTCTTCATCTCCTTTCTGCTCACCCAACACACTTTCAGTTATGAGATGAATAATGCCTGATGATCTAATGTATAACATGGTGACTATAGTTTAATATTGTACTGTATAAATGAAAATTGATGAGAGTAGAACTTGAATTTTCTCCCTCACACACAAAAAGGTAAATATATATATCTATAATAATAAAAGCATAATATGCAAATTGACCAAATGGCCAAACAGCAGAACAACCGTCTGGACAACCTTCAGGGATGAAGCCAGGGCTGTGAGGGCCTACTCTTGCATGAATTTCATGCATTGGGCCTCTAGTATTTATATATGAGGTGATGGATGTGTTAACTAAATCAATGAAGGGAATCATTTCACAATGCATATGTATCAAATCATCATGTGTGTACTTTAAATGTCTTGGAATTTTAGTTGTAAATTATATCTCAGTAAAGCTGAAAAAAATGAGACTATTCTCCCTTTCTATCACTGCAGCTCTTCCTGAATCTAAAGCAAGCCATGTTTCCCTCATATAGAATAAATATCCTTAGGGAAATAGGAACTAGGTATAAAAGAAAGCATGAATTTCAATCTGTCCAAATCCATCAACCCCTCATTAGCTGTTGTCGGGTCTTAAACATCACTGAGATCATTCTCAGCTCTAACCCAGAAAGAAATATTTTGGAATTACTACTCCTGATTTTATTAGAAAAACTGCAAAAATTCAATAGCCAAACAAATTAGATTTTAATAGAAACAACACTCTACTAAGCACGAGGAGACTGAAATCTCCATCTAACTTCCCTATTAATTAACTTCATGACCAAATCTCTTGGTTTCTGGGAGACTTTGTGCTATTTTAATCTATAGAATTAGGGGCTGGGGTGGAAGTCCTTTGAAGGTCCTTTCGTTTGTCTCATTGCTATCCTTTTCTATCAAAATTAAGTTAGTCTAATGATGCAGGGCCTGCTTCTCTTTTAGGAAGTAGCAGCTCAAAGAAGGAAACCCCAGAGCTGGGATTAGACCTCCAAGGGCAGGGTGCCACCTGGCTGACACTGGTGTCACAGGTAATCAGAAGAGGGGCTCCTCAGAGCTGAGTCTTAGACCTCTTAGACCCCACAGGCTACTAGTATCTCAGGATGGTGCAGGAGAGAACACTTATATATTTGGGATCCCAATCACAAGGAGGAGACTGTTTGGCTGAAACTGGTTCCTTTGGGACAGCACAATAAGGCTGGTTCTGGGTGTGCCCAAATATGGAGACTGAATTAACTGTTATTGAAAGGTAGGAATATATCCCAAGAAACTAGAAACACCAATCAGAAAGGATATATGCACCCCTATGTTCATAGTGGCACAATTTACCATAGCTAAGATTTGGAAACAGCCTATGAGTGGATTAAAAAAACGTGGTACATCTACACAATGGAATACTACGCTGCAGTAAAAAAGAAGGAATTCATACCATTTGCAACAGCATGGATGGAACTGGAGAGCATTATGCTAAGTGAAATAAGCCAGTCAGAGAAAGATAAATATCACATGATCTCACTCATTTATGGAATATAATGAACAATATAAAGTGATGAACAAAAACAGATCCAGAGACAGAGAAGCATCGATCAGACCATCAACCTCAGAGGGAAGGTAAGGGAGGGTGGGGGTAAGGGGAAGAGATCAACTAAAGGACTTGTATGCATGCATATAAGCCTAACCAATGGACACAGACAACAGGGGGGTGAGGGCATGAGTGGGGGGGTTGGGTGGGCAATGGGTTGATAAGTACACATATGTAATACCTTAATCAATAAAGAAAAAAAAAAGAAAAACAACAAAACTAACTAAAAAAATAATAAATAAAAGCAAAGCAAGTAACAAAAGGGAGAACATTCCTTTCTCTTTTCACCTGCATTCTAGTCTTTCTGCAGTGCCTCCTACTGGAAGAACCTGACAGATATCTTAGTGGCAGAAAAGAAATGAAAATTACAGTTCCAGCCCCAGTATCTCAAACTAGAGTATAGAAGATTGGATATCGAGCTGACAGATCAATGCTTCATAACTGACATAATTCCCCTCTTTGGTTATTCTGTGCCACATATACACTTCTGTATTTATACTTTTTCTCAATAATAAGGTGAAGCTATCCTTCATACAAACAAAAATGCTCTCATCATTTGTCCAAAAAAGGAGATACAAGATACCAACAGTCATTATATCCATCTCTAAGCAACAATCACAGTATCCATTTCTGGGTGATGATATTTAATCTTCAACAAAATTACAGTGCCACCTGAATATTTTGTTTCCCCAAACTCAATTATAAACCTATTCATGATGAAAGCACCTTTATATAAAATAGTAAGGGGAGAGGGAAGGAGGTCCAAAGAAAGTATTCAATATATACAAGTATCAATATGTCTAAATATCCATGTGATTTTTATGGATAGATAGAGCTGTATTTTTCCTCATGAAAATAGTAGCAAACAAGGAATAAAATATGCATAGCTTGTATAGTCCCCATTTCTATAATTATTTGCATGACTGTAGTTGATATAAATAACTTTCTTTTGCTATGCTTTTTGTCAGTCAGCATCTCACCTAGTTGATTTGGAGTTTACCTGGCAAAATAACTAAGACTTATAGGATAATCCAGGAAGGTCAATTGCTTCCATTACTAAGAAAGACTTAGAAAGCCTTAGGGTTCTCAAATTCTCAGCATTGTTCAAGTTCACTCAGATGTCACCATACACGGTTCAGCCTCACTCTCCTTCTCAATTAATGTCCTTTCTCATGAGAGTCACGGCTAGTGTAAGATGCTGACTTATAACTCTACAATCTGCATAAATAAAATATGCCTCTACTTTTTATGAGAAGTCAGCCCTCCATCTACAAGAAACAAGGGATTATTTTAAGACTCCCATAAAAGCTCTATTGTTATCTACTACTTGAACTGAGAATGAAAACCCTTGAACTTATACTTTTATGTCTGTACACTCTCCAGATATGTCAAGAGCGGCCATCTCACACAGCTCTTATAGACATCATAAGGACTATAAAAGTTAAGGTTTGAGGGCACTTGATTCTCAGGATATTTCATTGCAATCAACAAGAAGCAATCATTTTAATTACATGTGATGTGACTTCATATTATGAATTACTAATACTTCATTTCCCATTGGAAAGGACATCAGTGTTCATTAAAGGGCATGGGAATGACCAAATAAATCTCAGAATCTTCTGGTATCAAGTACAGTTCAGATAAAGAAAAAGCTACTCTTCTGAGGGGTAGAGAAGAAAAATAACATGATGGGGTTATCACCTTGGGGAAGATTCCCAAGGACATAGGACCCAGACATTCAGGAAGGGGACAATGCCTGGGGCATGATGAGGCTGGTCCTGGGAATGCAAGGAGAAGCTAGAGGCTGAACCACATGCTGCTTGTGGAGCTGAGGGTCTTTACCAGGACAGTCTTTATGCAAGGACAGCCTTGGAATGGAATGGGGAAGTCCCTTCGTTTTCCTTCTGCCTCGCCTTCCTGTAGCGCCTCCTATTCTCAGAACTGAATAGGAGGCATCTTAAAAAGAGAAATAAAAACTGCAGTTTAGCGCCAGTGCGATAAAGTATAGAAGGGTGGATTTGCAACTAAGAGACAGTGGCTCGGACAGGAACACAGATTGTAACCTAAATTATTCTGGTGTCCAGCTTCAGCCCTTTAAAATGCTTCCTTAATGGTTGATGTTGAGGAGATATACACTCTGGTGGGGAAGACATACAGGAGTAGGGAGGCTTGTCAGAAAGCACTTACTGGCTAAATCCCATTTCCATACGTTATCATCAAATGAGTTTATGTCTGTAAATTGCTGAGAACAGTGTCTGGCACATATAAGGTGCCATAGTAAATTATTGTCTACAGTATTAGTGTCATCATCATAGCATCTTACTATATGCTAGTATTAGGTGCTAATATACAATTGGTCAATTTAAGGTTAAAAGCATTCCCTGTCAGTTCTATGAAATATGCGATCGTGAACTTGCTTACAACAA